TTATTTATTTATTTATACTTTCAATTTGTACCCCGCTCACCCCCGAAGGGCTCTGAGCGGCTTACACGGTGCATGGTGCAGAGACCTATGCAGAAACCCTAACTATGGCCACAGTACGTCTGGGGTGGGGGGAGCCCTACCAGGTGTAGGATCTGGGAAGGCCAAGTATGAATCCCCACTCTGTGACGGAAGCTCACCGGGTGACCTTGGGCTGGCCAGTCTCTAGGGTTGTCAACCTCCAGCTGGTGGCTGGAGGTCTCCTGCTTTTACAAATGATCTCCAGATAACACAGTTTTGTTCACCTGGAGAAAATGGCCACTTTGGAAGATCGACTCTTATGCCCCATTGAAATCCCTCCCCTCCTCAAGCCTCACCCTCAGGCTCCATCCCAAAACTCTTCAGGTATTTCCCAGCCCCTAGCTGGCAACCCTACCCGTCTCTCTCAACCTGGCCTAACTCACAGGGACGTTGTGAGGGTAAAAGGAGGAGGGGAGAACGATGCTGAAAGCCCCTTTGGATCCCCATTTTGGGTAAAAATATATAAGCAAGTAAATATGACTGGGAGCTCTTCTGCATTCTCATTTTCGTCACTGGCATGTCCATGTTCTTTGAAGCCATAGGGACACACAAGTGACAAAAATTAGAATGTGGAAGAGCCCTAGGTCTGGTGAGATCCATCACAAAGGTAGCTGTGTTGGGAGATTATTTTGTGTGAGGCAGGAAGAAGTCCAACATGTGTCAGTGGGAAATCCCATTTCTTCTTTGGGACCCCACTTTTAAAAAACAAATAAACAAACCCTCTAAACTAAAGAACTTGAGTTTTAAACTATTGGTGTCCAGGTGATAAACTGGTACCTCTAAATCAGCATTTTGAATAGGGATGGGCACGAATCAGCTCAAGATTAGAACTAAAGTTTGTGATGAATTTTGGCTTGGAGCCATGTAAACCCCTGCTTTCCATTTCCTTCCACTCACCGTTTTTCACATGGAGCAGAAAGCAGGGTTTAAATTGCTCTGAGCCATTTAACTGCCAGCTTTCTGTTCACCACTGCTTTTGGCAAGGAGCAAAAAGCAGGGGGTTAAATGGCTCCGAGCCATTTAAACCCCTGCTTTCTGCTCCATGCCAAAAGTAGCAGCAAGCAGAAAGCAGGGGTCACAAACCTATACGAACCAGTTAGATTCACAAACCAGCCTCCTGGTTCGTATTGGTTTGTGGTTCACCCACGAACCGAATTGCAAAAATGTGGTTCCTACCCATCCCTAATTTTTGAGCATGCCTGATTTTTGCCAAATTTGCAAAAAGTTGGCATTTCCTCTTTATAAAAACAGTATGTCAGTACATTCTGTGTTACTGTGTAAGTTCTTGAGGCTTTTTGCTTCAGCACCGGAAAGCAGCTGTACCTATAACATGCTGGGTAAATGGATTTCTTTCTCTCTCTCTCTCTCTCTCTCTTTTTTTAAAAAAGGAAGTACTCTGATGTGATTCTTTCTAAGCCGGCTTTAGGCTGAGTTTCCCTGTTGTGCTTTCTTTCTCAGGTACACATGCCCATTTGTGGAGAAATTCTCTATTGATATTGAAACCTATTACATAACCGACTCAGGAGAGCAACCCAACGTGTTCAACCTTTCCCCTGCAGAGAAAAGGCAGACTGTTCTCGGTGAGGATCGCTTTCTCCATACTACTGTTGTATATGCACATGGGTGTGTCTTTGAGTGTCTATAAGCCTGACCTTTTATGACCTTACCAGAGCTCAGAAGCTAAGCAGGGTCGGCCCCCGGTTAGTATTTGGATGGGAGACCACCAAGGAAAGCCCAGGGTCGCTACGCGGAGGCAGGCAATGGCGAAACAACTCTGGGCATCGCTTGCCTTGAAAACCATACGGGGTGGCCATAAGTCAGCTGTGACTTGACCCCCCCCACACACACACACGTTCTTGTTACTATTATTCATTAACATGACAATCACGTGCATGGTGCTTTGCGGAACAGAAGATGACAAGGCCTTTACCCAGAGAACTTAGAACCTACAACGTGAAACGAGGGGGCCTAATTCAGATCGGGATCGCAACACGCACGGAAAGGGAGCTTTCCTTTTGCCCCACCCCCTGGGCTGCTTGCCCCAACCGGAAGTGCATGTACTAAAGCCTGCGGGCACCACAGCAGCCACCAACACCTTCCTTGGCGTCCGTCAAGTATTTTAGGGTGTGGTCACGCACGCCAGATAAAATGGGGGGGGGGGGGATCAGACGCAACTGCGGGTGAGTCGGGGTTTTTTTTTTTGCGCCGCTTGTTTCCCATGCGCTTAAATGAGGAATCAATGAATCGCACCACCGCACCGAGGGCCCGCTGTGGAGTATGCAATGATGTGCATACTGCAAGGGGGGGGGAAGCAGGGCTATTTTGGGACAGGAATGCACAGGAACGGAGTTCCGGCTGGCTTCAGAGTTGGCCACGCCCACTACTGAGCGTACCGCGCGCCAGAGGGGCCTGCTGATCCGCCACCGGAAGACCGCGAGGAGAAGGAGGAAGTGAGTTATGCTAATGAGTTATGCTAATGAGCCCCTGCACCTCTTTTTCTACTAAATGACCCCTGGGTAAAACCAAATGCAGCTTTGTCATAGAGACGTTGCGGTGAAAGCTCAAAGTTTGGAAAATGCACACACACACACACACACACACACACGCGCTGAAAACTCCAAGTCTGCCAGATGCCCCAAACTGGATACATCACTGTTTTCCCCCAGACAATGTGTTGACAAACATATTTATGTGGCTGTCATCGCTCACTGATGAAGGACTTCTGGGTGTTCACGAGATTTGTTTGCAGTTGTCAAAATGCGTATCGGGACTTCGGCACGTGGACAGAAGGCGCTTAAGCCTCCCCTACAGCACTCTTTTGCTGACCTGAAATAGCCCTATCAGCTTCAACTGGGAAACTTAACATAGAGAATTCCATAGAGGGCACTGTTCCCTCTAAGCTGAGTTAGTGTGAGCTAGCTCACAGTTTTTTAGCCTCTGGCTCACACATTTTTGTCTTAGCTCAGGAAGGATGGCTCCAGAGCAAGCTAATTTATGCAGCAGGCAAATAACTTGCTCACAACTTTAATGCCAGTAGCTCACAAAGTAGAATTTTCGCTCACGAGACTCCGCAGCTTAGAGGGAACATTGGTAGAGGGGTCCCAAAATTTTTAAGCCCGTGGACATCTTTGGGATTCTGACATAGCATGGTAGAAACCCCCATGAAACGGCTGCCACAGGAGATGGGGCCAGCCACCAAATGGCTGCCACAGCTTAGCTTCAGTCACACATGGTGGCAGTTGCTGCCAAAGCAGTGTTTTTAAAAATCTGCACAGCCAATTGGAAGAACGAAAATGCCCCCATGGTACAGGCATGGTTCCAGAAGTTATGGGACCAGTATACCATGGAAAGCATCATGGACAAACACATATCTGATTCCAAATATCCACCTAGCTCCCTCTTTAATGCAAAATGGTTCCCAATACTTGAATTTCTATCAAAAGAAGAATACATACCCCAATCATGGAAGAAGTATCATGGATGGATATAAAAAAGCTACCTTCCACAGATCACACTCTACAAACACTCCACGATAACACCACACTCTGGCACACCATCTCAACATTTGTTACAAGCTATTCAAAGTGTGTATAAAAAGCACCAGATTTGTTTAGAATAATCACTAGTCACTGTTCGAGTTTTGTTCATAAGTTAAGATTCTCTTCATGGTCAACGCTACAAAACAACACACCAACAAAAATTAAAGTTGTATTGTTACCATTTACCATTTATATTCATGTTGTTTTATATACTGAAATAATTTCTTAAATACTTGTTTTTTCTACTATATCACTATTTTTCGCTAATAATTTTTTTAAAAAAATATCCAGTGGCCAATCGGAAGCCTTGCTCAGCAAAAGCCCCACCCACTCTCTAAGGCTGTGATCATACGCACAATTAGACTAGGGCTCCCAACTCCCCCGGTAGGGCGGAAATCTCCCGCCCCGGAGGCTCCGTTTCCCGACGCCGGGGAATCGGGGCCCGGGGGAAACGCCGGGGAATCGGGGCCCGGAAGTGATGTCGCACGCTGGGGGCGGGGCCACGCCATTTGAGGGGAAAACTCTTTGTTTTCCCCTCAAATGGCGTGGCCCCGCCCCCAGCGTGCGACATCACTTCCGGGCCCCGATTCCCCGGCGTTTCCCCCGGGCCCCGATTCCCCGGCGTCGGGAAACGGAGCCTCCGGGGCGGGAGATTTCCGCCCTACCGGGGGAGTTGGGAGCCCTAGTCTAATTGTGCGTATGATCACAGCCTTAGAGAGTGGGTGGGGCTTTTGCTGAGCAAGGCTTCCGATTGGCCACTGGATATTTTTTTAAAAAAATTATTAGCGAAAAATAGTGATATAGTAGAAAAAACAAGTATTTAAGAAATTATTTCAGTATATAAAACAACATGAATATAAATGGTAAATGGTAACAATACAACTTTAATTTTTGTTGGTGTGTTGTTTTGTAGCGTTGACCATGAAGAGAATCTTAACTTATGAACAAAACTCGAACAGTGACTAGTGATTATTCTAAACAAATCTGGTGCTTTTTATACACACTTTGAATAGCTTGTAACAAATGTTGAGATGGTGTGCCAGAGTGTGGTGTTATCGTGGAGTGTTTGTAGAGTGTGATCTGTGGAAGGTAGCTTTTTTATATCCATCCATGATACTTCTTCCATGATTGGGGTATGTATTCTTCTTTTGATAGAAATTCAAGTATTGGGAACCATTTTGCATTAAAGAGGGAGCTAGGTGGATATTTGGAATCAGATATGTGTTTGTCCATGATGCTTTCCATGGTATACTGGTCCCATAACTTCTGGAACCATGCCTGTACCATGGGGGCATTTTCGTTCTTCCAATTGGCTGTGCAGATTTTTAAAAACACTGCTTTGGCAGCAACTGCCACCATGTGTGACTGAAGCTAAGCTGTGGCAGCCATTTGGTGGCTGGCCCCATCTCCTGTGGCAGCCGTTTCATGGGGGTTTCTACCATGCTATGTCAGAATCCCAAAGATGTCCACGGGCTTAAAAATTTTGGGACCCCTCTACCAATGTTCCCTCTAAGCTGCGGAGTCTCGTGAGCGAAAATTCTACTTTGTGAGCTACTGGCATTAAAGTTGTGAGCAAGTTATTTGCCTGCTGCATAAATTAGCTTGCTCTGGAGCCATCCTTCCTGAGCTAAGACAAAAATGTGTGAGCCAGAGGCTAAAAAACTGTGAGCTAGCTCACACTAACTCAGCTTAGAGGGAACAGTGCCCTCTATGGAATTCTCTATGTTAAGTTTCCCAGTTGAAGCTGATAGGGCTATTTCAGGTCAGCAAAAGAGTGCTGTAGGGGAGGCTTAAGCGCCTTCTGTCCACGTGCCGAAGTCCCGATACGCATTTTGACAACTGCAAACAAATCTCGTGAACACCCAGAAGTCCTTCATCAGTGAGCGATGACAGCCACATAAATATGTTTGTCAACACATTGTCTGGGGGAAAACAGTGATGTATCCAGTTTGGGGCATCTGGCAGACTTGGAGTTTTCAGCGCGTGTGTGTGTGTGTGTGTGTGTGTGTGCATTTTCCAAACTTTGAGCTTTCACCGCAACGTCTCTATGACAAAGCTGCATTTGGTTTTACCCAGGGGTCATTTAGTAGAAAAAGAGGTGCAGGGGCTCATTAGCATAACTCATTAGCATAACTTATTTGCATATGCTACACACCCTGACATCACCGGAAGTGTGTCAGAAGGCAACACCCACCGCTCAGGCTCCACTGGACTGTTTTGGATTGATAGCTATTGGGGGACGTGGGAATGTGCAGATCTGCCCTCGCAGAGGAGGGAGAGCTTGTACCTGAATAAAACTTGGCCTTAAAGGTGCCACTGGACTGTTTTGGACCGGGGGGGCGGGGGGGGGCTCTGCAACTTCCCTGGCTGCTTCTTGCTCTGACTGAGAGCTGCTGGGAGCAGGGGGTGGGGCTTGTTGCATGTGCCCACCCCCTGGGCTCTTTACTGCCGGAGCTCTGCTCCTGTGCGCTCCTGCAGGAAACGACCCCTGGTTTTACCAGGATAATTAGTACCATCTTGAGTATTAGGATATATTCTTTGTCCATCGGGGGTGGGGGATTTGAGTTTCATCTGTGGGACCCGTTAAGGACTGCTTCCTGGAGTGCCAAGAAAGGTTTGTGTGTGGGGGGGTGTTTGCCAGGTTTTGCTCCAAGGCCTGGACCTGGAGGAGATGGGGGGAGGCGCACATGGGCACCAGTGGCAGCAGATGGTTTAATTAGTTCTGCAGGCAGCCTGTGCTGCCTCTTGCTGGCCCAGACTGAGAGGAAGTACTCCAGCCAGTGATGTCAGCAAGCTGCGCGTCTGGCTTGTTTTGGCTTCCGTGACTTCAATATTTGGGAGCAAAGGGCCAACAGGCTTTCTTGGGGGTTGGCAAAATTGAGTCTCTCCCCCCCCCCCCCTGATCTCTCAAGTATATCCAAATGAGTCCCCGGAACTATTTTAGTCTCATGGAAGGGCTTGCACGCAATGTTTTGTTAAGCTTGGGCCAGTTTTTTTTAAACAGCCCCTCAAGTGCTGAATGGAACATGGTTTTAGAAGGG